TTGTATTGGTTTGTCTTTGGGCCCATTTCGAATAGCTTGCAACTTTGTAGTGTCTTTATTAATTTTATTTGAACTCTGCACTGTTGGTTTATCATGTTTTGTAGATGCAGCCTTTAAATAATAACATTTATTGACTGATTCGCATCTGGAGTGTCTTGGCTTTTCTTTGGATCCTTTTGTAACAGCTTGTATTATTGCAAGGTCATTGTTTTGAACATCACTTGTCATCACATTTTCTTCCTTGACTTTGATCACAGATTCCATAATTGTCTTATCACAGGAAATATCTTTCAGACATTGATAACTATTTTTATCACAATTATTTTTCTTCAAACTACTGTCGGAATCTTCTAAAATCTTAACTTCTGTTTTGAAGTTTGTAAAACCATCAGACTTCAAAGTACTTGTTTCTTGTACACCATTCGACATCAATTTAGTCCTTTTGGTTACATCAAAATCTTGAGACATTTCCTCACTGTGTTTTCTCTTTAAATCAGAACATAGGATGTTACTTTTATTCAATTCTAGCTTGTCCAGGGCACCATTTTGATTCAAACTATCCTGCACTGATGAATTAGTACCACTGTTAGTACTAAATTCATTTTTATCTTTGATCTCTCTCATTTTTCTAATCCTTGGGTCCATTTTTAAAACACTCATTGTTTCAGCAGATGACTTCACTTCATTATCCTCGCTATGGCAACTAGAATCAACAGATTTCAGTTTTTTATCTTCTTCAAGTTTTCTGCTTGTCAAATTTTTTTGAAAATCTGAAGCAAGGATAAATTTTGACTTTTTTGTTTCTTCATCACTATTTTTTCTAATATTTAACTCTTCTTCAACTTCATAATTTTCTAAGCATTCATCAGATTTGTGCTCATCATCACTAATTAATTCTTTTTCATCTAATTTAGAATGCAAAGAACTTTGTTCAATATCAACATCAATATTGTTGCTTTGGCAATCAGAACTGACAGATTTAAAATTTTCATCTTCTTTAAAATTCCTGTGAAAATCTGATGCAAGCATAAATTTTGATGTTTTTGTTTCTTCATAACTATCTTTCTCCATATTTATATCTTCTCATCTTCAGATATATTATTTTCCTGGCATTCATCAGAGTCATCACTATTTAATTCTTTTTCATCCAATTTAGGTTGGAAAAAACATTCAGAGAGGTTTGTTTCATAAAATCTTTCTTGATCCTATTTTTTTTTACAATTCTATCTATTTTAGGCGAAGTTTTAGCTGATTCACTTTTTGTTTCTTTTTGAATTTCTTTCACAGCCTCTCGCAATGTCAGTTTTGGTGTTGGTTTAAAAGTTTTTAAGGCATCAAACACCTTATTATTTGTAGTAGCTGATTTTATAGATGAAATCTATAAAAACAAAAGTAAACATGAGTATATTTATAATAAATAAGCTTATATAACTTCATATGTTTGTTTTACAAGTTTCACTAAATTTCTTCTGTACAGACATAACACTTTGTTGGAACTAAATATTTCATATTCGAGCATTTTGGCACAATCTTCTAAATCATTTTTATCAAGTTCATGTAATGGTGGATCACTTTCATCATGTGCAGTTAAGTTTTTTTTGCAGCATATCTACTATCATTGATAAATTTGATTCTCTTGCCGATATTGTTAAGCCGGTAACCTGGAAATATCAATTATTTATTACTTTGTAACTCGTAAATGAAAATAAAAAGGAGTAGAATAAATAATAGTTCATGAACACAAATATTGCAAATTTTAATTATCAAAAGTGGATTTTTATCCAAATCTATAAATTTTATAATATGATTATAATAGCTGAAGTAAAATGTAGAATGTTTGAGCACTATATTCTGCTAAGTTATATATATTTTAAGACAGCTCATGTTTTCACACAATTAACAGCATTTTAAGACTACTTATGGCATTTTCAGATGATCTACAACAGATCCAAACAATTTTCAACATTTTCAGACAATTCAAGTCTTTTTCACGCAACTGACGACGTTTTTAACTATTTACAATATTTTCAGATTATCTACAACATGTTCAACATTTTATAACATTTCCAGACAATTCACAATACTTTCAAACAGTCTACAACATTTTCAGACAATTTACAACACATCCAAACAATTTTCAAAATTTTCAGACTATCATACAGCATTTTCAAACTATTTACAATATTTTTTTATATAATTACACCGTTTTAAGACATTTCCAGACAACTTACTAAACTTTTGAACAGTCTACAACATTTTCAGATAATCTACAACATACCCAAAGAATTTTCAACATTTTCAGACAACTTACAACACTTCGAATCAATCTACAACATTTTCAAACAACCTAATCCTGATGTCGCAAGTCAGATTAGAAGTTCCACAAAAATACAATTAATTAAATTATTATACCATAAGTGTTAAAATATACATTTATTACCTTAACTGTTGTACAATCTGCTGCTATAACACGAGCAAATTCTGCATTTATTTTAGGTGTACTTTCTGTTGCAGTCGAAGCTTTTCTCAAAGCAAATTGTTTTTGTATAAAAGTAGTTGTTTCTTTTTTCACTTTCTCTTCACGGTCATTATGACCACCATTATCTTCATACTAGAAAATAAAAACAAATTAACAACATTACATAACAAATATAATTTTTTATATATTTTGATATTTACATCTTCATAATCATTCTGCTTTATTCTTCTCCTCCTCGTACAATTCACATTCATCTGTGGATTGTAATTTAGACATCAGAGTCTTCATTGTGCTGTTTTGATATTGAGATATTAATTTTTCAACTTTAGACTTGTTTGAACACACATCACAACGATTAACACAATTCGGCTTGTTGTCTCCAAAGTAATCAGAAAACACAGCATGTCTACACCTGCAATAATTAGAGCTCAAGACATTATTAATCAAATCATTTGTTACTAATATTATCCAACCTTGCTGATTCACAATATTCAACCCATTTGGTAAAGATTTATAAGCATTCTTTGCCAGTTCCTTTTTTTTGCTTCAGTTTTGGCTTTATAACCATCTTTTTTTATAAGGAAATCTATTGCTTTGCGCTCTGACTGACTGTAATAGATTCTGCAGTAAGAATTTTTGCCATCACGGCCAGCTCTACCAGATTCCTAAAGAAAAATAAAATTATTAATTGAAAACTAAATATAAATATTACAAATATACATAAATATATAATTTAAATATAAATATAAATCATAAGTTTGAATATAAATTTAAATACATTTACATACATACATATTTATAATCATAATTAATGTTGATATTTATAATTTATATTTGTAGCTATATTTATTATTATATTAATATATGAATATAAATCATAATAATTAATTATAAATTATAAATATAAACATAAATACAATTAAATATATATATATATATATATATATATATATATATATATATATATATAATATGAATATAAATATATCAATTTATAAATATATAATTATAAATTATAAATTTTAAATATAAATGTAAATATTTATATTTAAAACACAAATATAATTATGAACATATTTATATGTTTATATCTATATTGTTAAATTTTTATTTATGATATATAATTTAGAATTCATATTTATATTTAAACTTTATATCAATATTTGTATTTATTTTCATATATATTATAATAGATATATAAATATATTATAAATTTATTAATATCTGAATTTCTTCCTAACTACCTGATAATAACTAGCAACATTTTGAGGCATTCCCCAATGTGCAACAACTCTAACGGTTGCTTTGTCGACTCCCATACCAAAACTATTTGTAGCACTTATCACAGGAACTTCTCCAGTCTGCCAACTTTCTTGAATAGAAGTCCTATCGAGCCCCCCCAGACCTGCAATTGAAGTAAATTTATGTAACAATCAAGAGGATAGAATATCATGGAATAAAAATTTTATTAGCAACCTGCATGATAAGCCATTGTTTTTAAACCTAATTTAGTCAACTTGGAAGCTACTCTTTCTGTGGAGTCTCTTGTGCGACAATACACAATTGCACAACCTCGCTTACTCTATAACAAAACAATATTAATAACAAAATATAATGAAATTATATTATGCAAATGGCATACCGATTTTTCATCATCTGTTGCTTGAATGTGCTTTGAAATAAAGTCTTTCAAATGCTCATATTCGTCATCTATTAAATCTTTGAAACAAACATCATAATACAAATTTTGTCGAAAGCACGGAGTCTTGAATCTTAAATCATTAGAAATTAAATATATTTACATGCTACTTATGTTTTTTAACACTTACACTTTAACTGGCTTTTGTAACTTTAAATTTGTCAATATATCAATGACGACATCTTTGCTAGCTGTTGCTGTAAGTGCTATCCATGGTATTTTTGGAAATTCCTTTCGTAGCTTACCTAATTTTAAATAATCCGGTCTAAAACAAATTTTATATAATACTTTATACAGAACATCATGAAAAAATTCTCAAATTACCTGAAATCATGTCCCCACTGACTAACACAATGCGCTTCATCAACGACAAAATATGAAATCTTGTCATACTTATCCAACATTGTCAATAAATTCTGACAAGTATTTGTAGCAGCTTGCTCTGGAGTAATATATAAAAACTTTGTTGATGGATTTACACTTTTTAAGTCATTAATAACCCTGTCACGTTCTTTGGTGGTAATTTTGGAATTTATCGATTCTGCACATATTTTTAACCGGTTTAAATGATCCAGTTGATCCTTAATTAAAGCGATTAAGGGTGAAAACACTATTGCTATTTTATTGTTGTATGTGAGTGCCGGTAATTGGAAACATAAGGATTTTCCTGAACCTGTAGGCATTGATACAAAGACATCATTTTTTCCTAAAACATAAAACACTCTTGTTAGTATTCATATTGTGTATATTATTACACAAACGTATCGTTTTTTTCTTAAATTCTATTATTGTTATTGATATTATAGATTATTTGATGCTAACTTTTGATAATACAAGTGATTGCTTGTTTTTGTAATTCGCTCTTGAATGAATCGTGTCCGAAAAATGTTTTTAACTGTCCATATAATTCTGTTTCTTGCATGTTAATAAAAAAAATACAGTCCTAATTCAATTCACACATAAATTAAAATATAAAAATAAATCAGTTTGTATAAAAATATTATTCTATCATTTTTGTTATAGGTTAATTTGACAGAACTGCACAGAAGCCATTTTTGATTTTACTGTCAATCAGTGCAACCTGAAAAAACTATCATGAAGTGAAGCGTTAATGGACCAGTGTGACCAACACAAAAACATTACATCCATTCTGTGTGTTTACGTGCCAAACGTCAAAAGCAAAATATTCGGCAAACAAACAAACACAAAATAGTTATTATTATTGATAAATAAAGTATATACAAGGATTATCTATCAATTAAAAGTTAGTTGAAAAACAGTTATTCACATAAATTTGAATTAGTTATACATAACGTCAGTGAAAAGTCATATTTATGATTTTGTACATTGCACAATTAACATTGATTAATATAAATATCAATTGGAAGTCAATTATTTGTAACGAATAATTAATAATAATTATAAAACGAATAATAATGATTAATTATCAGAAACATTTCCAATATTATACACATATTACATACTAATTAATGGATTAGTCAGGTCTAGTCAGTAATTAGAGAGCCCCTGTAAATTCTTTAATTTATTAACACCATTTTTCTAAATTTAATGAGAATATTGTTGTTCTAATAAATGCAATTGATATATTGTTTTTATAGTTTAAAACCTAAAAAAGGTGTATCTAAATAGTTTAAAAACCAAATATAAACTAGGTGTAATACAAATGTCCGATAGTGTCAATCAATAAGACATAATCAGTAAGAATTTAAAACAAGCTATTTAGATGCAATTTTCAACTATTTATTCATAGCCCATCAATATATAGTTAACTTATAACTAATAAAATCAATTTCCAATTGATATCTTTCAAACAGACTTATGATATGTGTAACTGTATCAATTAAATTCAATTTAACACATTTTATTGTAATTTGTGTTCTCAAAATATATCTTATTTAAGAATGAGTGACAATAGTGTTTAGTTAGATAATAGTGTGTCTTAAGAGCGAGACCCATTATTAATCCTAACCTTTTTCCAATTAAATCATTTACGGAGCCTATAATTAACAGATAAGAGCTAGTTTAGACCATAAATTCTATCACTACGCTCTTATCTGTTAATTGTGAAGAAACTGCTGGCTGGACCAATAGTTGCATAAAACTAATCAACACGAGTTCTTGTCAAATGGCTTTAAAATTTTTGAAATTGATTCATCTGTTTTGATTTCTGATTCACTTATCCTATGACACAAATTATTATTATATATATATATATATATATATATATATATATATTAATTTCTATCTATTAATTATTTATTACCTTTTCCTTAAAGGTGAGTCCTACTATCTCACATGTGAACCATGTGGGACTCGTCAATGTTTCTAAGCACTTTGACTCCAAAATTTTATGTGGCTTTGACGGGGACATCATCACTGATATCCGGATTAATATTGATTTTTGAATGGTGGTATTTTAGAAAATATGGCACCTCATTTATTGAACAAGTCTCCTTAAATCACATAAGCCCCTGGATAGGAGGAGGCGAAACTAATAATGAACAGAGTAATGGAAGTAGTACTAGTAATGGGTCTAGTTCTAATAATACTCAAAGCATACCAGGTAAATATATTAAAATACATTTATTTTTCAATCTTTGATTGCTGTAAATTATTTTAGAGTGTAAGGTTTGGCGCAATCCGTTGAATTTACTACGGGGTGCTGAATACCAACGTTTTTTCTGGGCAACAAACAAAGAACCTTTAACCTACTATGACATGAATTTATCAGCACAAGACCATCAAACATTCTTCACATGCGAAGGTAATATATTTTAGTCCAAGCAACAAGTCTTATTAATTATGATTTATATTAATTTTCTATTTATCTTTTCTTAGGGGATGTGGGTAAAGCTGAGTACGAAGTCATGCAAACAGCATGGAGAGAAAGGAACCCTGTAGTTAGAATAAAATCAGCACACAGTGCTCTAGACTTGAGCCCTGATTGTGCGACAGCCTACATTTTGTTAGCTGAAGAAGAATGCACGACAGTGGCTGAGGCAGAACGTGTGCTGAAGCAAGCCTTGAAAGTTGCCGAAGGCAATTACAGAAAGTCTCAAAATATGCAACATCAGGGTAAAAAGATAATTAAACTAGAAGGTCTTAATTCAAATATATGTATTATTGTGCAGAAATTGATTCTTCGAGTTTCTTTGAAATAAACTAATTTTATTAATATTATAAATTTATATCATTACTAGACTATTTTTAACATAACATTATCAGACAATATACAATATTTTCAGATCATTTAAAATATTTTCAGACATTCTGCAACAATTTCAGACAATCTATAATGTTTTTGGACACTTTAAAACAACTTACAATCCTTTCAGACCATTCACAATATTTTCAGACATTTTTTGTATAATTTAAACATATTAATTAATTATAGGTCTATTAATGGAGTCCATACACCGGCGTGACACAAATGTTTTGATTTACATCAAACGTCGCTTGGCAATGTGTGCCAGAAAATTGGGAAAACTAAAGGAGGCCGTTAAAATGTTCAGAGACCTCACCAAAGAAGTGCCTCCAATAATGAACGTGCTCAACATACATGAGAATTTAATAGAGGTGCTCTTAGAAATGCAGGCCTATGCAGACGCGCAAGCGGTCTTGGCAAAATTTGATGATATCAGTTTACCAAAGTCTGCCACAATTTGCTACACGGCAGCATTATTAAAAGCCAGACAGGTAATAAAGGATAACTAAAAGTTGCAGGGAATGAAATGATGGCAACAATTATTTTTCAGGTTGCAGATAAATTTTCACCTGATGTAGCAAGTAAAAGGGGCCTGACAACGGCAGAGATGTCAGCTGTTGAAGCCATACACAGGGCTGTTGAGTTTAACCCCCATGTGCCCAAATATTTATTAGGTATTTTATATATTACTATAAATATCAGTATAGTATATATATATATATGTTATATATATATATATATATAAATATATATATATTCTTTTCTGTATCTATTTATTCCTTCATCAGAAATGAAACCGTTGATATTACCTCCTGAGCACATTTTGAAACGTGGTGATTCAGAAGCCCTGGCATACGCCTTTTCGCACTTAGCACATTGGAAAGCGAGCGAGGGTGCTCTCAGGTTACTTCACTGCACATGGGAAGGTGCTTTCAGGGCTCTACCATATCCTCTAGAACGGGGCCACTTGTTCTACCCGTATCCAGCATGCACAGAATGTGCAGACCGGGAACTCCTACCTGTAATAAATAAATCCAAACAAATCAGACATATAAACACTGTTGCTTATGCTATTTCTATTACAGGCTTTTCATGAGGTGTCAGTGTACCCCAAAAAGGAGTTACCTTTCTTCATCATGTTCACAGCCGGTCTGTGCTCCTTCACAGCATTATTGGCCCTTCTCACACATCAATATCCTGAATCGATGGGTATGTTTGCAAAGTCTGTACTCGGTTGGTTGTCTTTGCCATTTGGATTTCTCCTGGACAAATTGGAAATGGTCTTGCCGAGCAACCTGCTGCAACAGCTATCACGGATATAGCCAAAGAGACGAGTGTGTGAAATGGAAAATAAATTATTTCAACGATAAATAATAATAAAACTATGTGTTTGTGCATTATTGTGAAATGGATTTTATTAGTTTAGTTTCAGTAGAAATAGCATTGTTTAATTTGTGATCATCACATTAATGAAACTTTTTAAGTAAAGTTTTATCAGGGTAAAGAGTGAAAATAAAATTCTGTTGTGATTGAAGTTAAAGGCATATTTTTTTGCTTTAAGTTTACATAAATATTGTTGTTACATAGTATGATGAAATAAGATACTGAATTCTGCTCTAATAAGTATTATAACTCATTAAAACATGATATGTTTGTGATGTAGCGATGAAATAAATCATCAAAACGCTATATTTTACTGTTTTATTCAATAAGTGCCATTGGAAAATAACAAATAGTGAGTGGAATCCCTTCTTCAACCTTGAAAATTGAAACTTTGTAATGGAGAAATTGATTCTTAGTGCATTCGAGTTGTTTTTTTAAGATGAACAGACTATTTACATCATTTTCAGATAAAATACAACTATTTCAGACAATTTGCAACACTGCCAAACAGTATACAACATTTTCAGACTACCTACAGTCAGTGGCGGATTAAGCTTTCTGCCGCCCTAGGCCCTATCCGTTTGGCGCCCTTTTTAATAGACAAAATTTTACTTTTTTAAATAAACAATTTATTTTGAATTATTTAGATATAATTTTTAACTTTGCGTTGGGTAAGTTGTAGTAATTTTAAATAGTAATTTCGGAGTTACGGAGCAAAAAGTGCAGAAAATAGAAATTGAGTTTTTGAGAGAACGGAGCATCCAATTTGAATGATCTAAAAAACATTCAATTTGTAATGATGGGGAGAAGTGGTAATTAGGTTCTGGCAAAGGCAGGTCTAGCCGTTACGGAGACACCCAGCTAAATGTGCAAAAAATGGCAGTTTTTGAGAGAACTAAGCGTCCGATTTGAATGATTCAAAGAACTTTCTACTTATTTCAACAAAATAATTTTGAAAAAAAAAATTTGTTTCAAATTTTTTTCAAAAAATTCTTTTTGTTTATATCGAAAATAATTCAAATTTTATATTTAATTCTGACTAAAGTTTTAAATCTCACATATTCTGAAGAATTATTTAATGCTTTTAAAAAGAATAATAGTAATTGATTTTGAATTAGAGGTTGAAAAAATGCTACAATGCAAAGAGATAAAATATATTTTATCAAAAACCATATAACTCTTCGCATTGTAGTATTTGTATACATTTGTATAATAATTATTAGTTGATAAAATATAGTTATATTATAGTTAATTTTGAATTAGTTGAAAAATACTATAAATACTATAGTATTTATAGTATTTTTTCAACTAATTCAAAATTAACTATAATATAACTATATTTTATCAACTAATAATTATTGACAATATTCTTTCTGAAGGTATCTAATAATTTTTTATGAAGTTCTGGAAAAAAATTTAAAAATAACATTAACCATATATTAAAAAGCAAAGATTATTTTGCAAAAATTTTATTTTAAGATATTTTGACACATATATTGACACATTTATGTTTATTAATTAACATAATTATTCAAATAGTTTATTTTTGATAATTATATGTACTTAATTAGGATGCAACTCTTTTCCTCACCACCCATGGGGTAGAGTTGCCAGGCGCGTTTTTTTTAATGTGGTGTCGCCACAGAAATAGATACTTCTATTCATATTTACGTTTCTAACATTTCAGATGGAAATGGATATAGTGTAAATACTACTAAGTATCGATTTGTGCAGCCCTAATCCACTTAAACTAACTTACAAACTAATTATGCCTAACTGACCCGAATATATCGCGAATAGAAGAACCCCCGCGAAATGACCTAATGTACCCAAAAATTTCGGTTTTTAAAAATGAAAGAACCTCTCGTGGTAAAGAAAAAAATCAATATAAAATGTGTAACTTTAGTATTTTAGCGGTGATTGTAAATTTATAAAAAAAAAGCATTTACATGATGTACCCCCCAGATCCACCATGTAAACACTTGAAAAAAAACTTCATAGGTTCCCAGCCTATGAAGTTTAAGGACAAATGATAATTAATTAATTAATGTAAAGAAGAGCGCGAAAAATATAAGAGAGGTTCTTTCATGACGCCACCCTTTTGAGCTCTGAATAAAAGTACGCGAACAACCCCAAAAAAAGTACGGCCGAAGATTTTAATGTCGAAACGTCCCCTAACCTACTGATATTAACTAAATACTACTATGATAATAGAAAGTCTTAACTCACAGTTAATTTTCCTTTCGATTATGTCATATCATCCGATTCAGTTGTAGGCGGTAGTTCAGGTAGTAGTGGTGCCTAGTTGGTTTCGAGTTGATGATATTTTCTGCCAAATCTCGTGCAAGACCTAAAAAGAGGTAAACATAGAATTTCATTACATTTATTCGTATGGGTTGCAGAAGTAATTGTTGGTACCCACTTGCACATATCCTTTAAATCGGTAGTGGTCTCTTGGTTTGAAAGACATCTGAAATGAAAGTTAGCAGCATGCCAATAATTTTAGTATCTTGATACATCAATCAGTCTGATCAATTTCTCCTATGGGTTGTGGAAGTAGTTCTTGGTACTTATTTGGTAAGCAATTTTCTTGGAAAGACATCTGAAATGACATAAAAAAAACACAAGTGCCCCTAACAATAGGGGCTAACATACAAACGGGGCCCCGGTAACGAAAATAAAAATATAATATACTTATATCTAATCAAGGTCTAACTACTTAATATTAACTTATGAATACGAGAAAACCTGAAGGTATCCATATTGAGGTGAACTGAAAGGGTTAAGGGTACTCTTGTTAGAGTGTAAAGATTGCTATTTGGTATGTTTAGCATCTCACTCCCCAATATGAAGGGTTTACCTTAGCGCCGTAATTCGACTCAACAAAACCTGCAGTTACCAGTGGAGATTTTAACTAACTACACAATTAAAGCAGAATCTACTTACCAACTTATTGATTGTTACCGAGTTATGTTTACAGATCCGAGAGCTTGACCGCACTTATGTATAGTGATGCATTAAGCCTAAATTCGAATGTACTAACGATGGGCTAATGATAAAGCTAGAAATGATTAAAAATGTATAGAACGGCGTAATTACGCAGGGGAATGCTTAAAATCGGAAAACTCGATCGGATTTTTCTAGATCGTGTTCTTTTTGCCTGGCACAACATCACAACCATCACTAATGCACTAACTTGTGTCCTCCGTATTGGATTGACCACCTGAGATGACTGATACTGAAAAACGATCGCGACTCCGGACCTCATACGATAGGAGCCTTATAGGCAGGTGGGGATTCAGTTTAGGAGTTTAAAAACTCCTTGGAAATGATGTATGTAGTCTTTATCGCGAATCTGGACCACATACGACAGGAACCATATAGGCGGGCGGCGGCGGATGTAGTTTGCACTAAAGGTTGTGCAACACTTTGGAAACATTGCATGCTGTCGTTACAAAGACGCAATCACTTTTTAAGTATCAGTCCTCAGAGGTAGTCAATCGAGTCGAAAGTGCACAATTAGTGCATAGTGGTGCGTGTGTTGTTCCATGGGCGAAGAACACACAATCCAGAAAAAGTGACGGTTCTCCGATTGTATGCGATCCCCTTTGTCATCACGCCGTATCATACACATCTATAATTTCAAGCTTTTTGATCAACCAAAACAATAGTATATCAGAATTTAGACTTAAGACATGACTACAAAATACGGTCATATCTTCGCACCTACGACGAACACAACTAGGTAACATTGAATAAGTTAATAAGTATAGATTCTGTTTCATTCGTGTAGTTAGTTACGCACTCTACAGATAATTACCGGTTTTTATTAAAAGTCAGATTGGGGCTCCAAGGTAAACCCTGTATATTGGTAAACGCAATGCTAAGATGTACCAAGTAGCAGTCATTGCACCCCAAAAAGGGTACCTTCAACCTTTTTAATCCACCACAATCTCCTAGCAGTCCTGGTGCTTGCCGTCGCGCTGAGAAATTAATTCTGCAACCCTGAAATAAAAAGTGACTTGAAAGAAATTAAATAGACAATGACTTATAAATACTATGTCGTAGCCTACTCGTATTTATTCCAGGGCTCTGGTACATCATATAGGTACACATGTTCTCCTGTTCGTTGTTGTAGTATTCAACCTCGTGGTATATTTAGTCGAGGCCCATTTACGCTAAAATAAATGTCAATTTTGTTATTTTTTACATAATTTAGGGTTTTGTATCATCTTACCTTTTTTTTTTTTAACTTCAAACAATACGTCTTCAACATTTCTCCGTTTAGGAGACTTATTGTGCAATCACAAAAAATTTAAATTATTTAATTAAAACATATTCATTGCATTGGAGCAGAAAAATCAGTCAAAATAAAAACAAGTAATTTATTTAACAAAGTTTTTAGATTTTTTAACTAGTTATTTACATCCATGCTACTAATAAAATAATTCTAAAAAAATAAGCATTGTACATATAATACTAATTAGAAATTAAAGTGTATGGGGTTGCGTTGCTTCTGGGAAAAACATCGCAAGGATCCACACACCGATTGAAAAAAATTAATTTATTAACGAAACGCGAATTACTAGAACCTGCCGTGGGGGGTAGGCGACAGGAACACATTTAAACGCGGATATCGTTTCAAACGATATTAAAATTACGAATAAGTCCTCGCACGAACAAAAAAAATTTAAATGTGGACGCAAATAACTCAAAATTATAAAAAATAATTAAAAATTGTAAATGTGATTGAATAAAAAAAATTCATGCACAATAAATCCCTAAAGCAATCCGCCACTGCGCAAAACACTGTATGAAATCTGAAACAAAACAAATGTAGTCAATCGTAAATATCTGAAACATAACATTTATATTAAAATTTAATATTATTTAATTATAGTTAAATTTAATAATCTAAAGATTGCATTAAATTATTTATGTTAACTCAAAGGCTAAAATTAAATATTTTCACAACAATAAACACTAAGGCGACACTTCAGCACAAATATATTGAATTAGAAAATGTAACGCAAATGGTTTAATATTAAAGAAACGAATTTTTACTTCAATTTATTTACATTCTTATAATTATAATTCAACAGAAAATCAAGT